CAGCACAAAGCTGGGACAATATCAGAGAGACCATGTGTTGCCTACGTATCATGAACCCTCTCTCGACCCGCCTTGCTTCCTCCAAAGAAAACATCACTACGTTTGGAACAAGCAGAAGCTGCCGGATCAGAAAAGAAGTGCTCCGTATATCCGCCTGTCGGAGCTTTTCTCCTAGACCAGCTGCCAGTCAAGGCTAAAGGCCTGGTCCGCTCTGCCATAATATAAAGTTTTCAGACTGCGTTTCCTCCATCTAGAATAAAGTTACTTTTCTCTCTATCTCCCCCCCCCCCACCCCCCTCTTTTCGCCCCCAAACCCCTTTCCCATTGCGTTCCACCGTCCGATACACTTAGCATAGTGGTGTAAAAGTAACGTTGATCTCCACATGCCTTGCCCATATACACACTAGCTGATTCTGATATGTAGTTCCTGAACCTGTCACTTTGGCACAAGGTTACGGGGGTGTTCAAAAATGCCTTTGATATCGCGTGTGGTATATTTCAGCGCGCCACCGCTCTTAACACTAAACACACACACACACACACACACACACACACACACACACATGGAGAAACTGGTCATAACACAACACCCCTAGAGAGTGCTGCAACCTATGTCACAAGTATTCTCTTTCCCAGAATAAAAACGTAAATGCAAGACATCACAGAAAGCAAACAACAGAGCGGGACACACCCGTAACCTTCATGAAAGTCGACCAGCCCAACACACTTGTAAATGAAAAGTGACCTACTCTAACCGCACAGGGGTTCTCAACCTATGGCTCACGACCCTTTTCGGGGTCGAACGACCCTTTCACAGGTGTCGTCTAAGGTCATCGGAAAACACATATTCACTGAAGTTTATGAAGTCGCAACGAAAATAATGTAATGGTTGGGGATGGTCACAACACGAGGAACTGTATTAAAGGAATGCCACATTAGGAAGACTGAGAACCACTGAGTTAGCCCGATATGGGATGTCAAGTTTGGCACATGCCAGCATGTGGTGGATACTGTTATTGTACACAACGAGACACCAGTACTAGAATTAGGATATACACAAAATATGAACGTCTTCCGGAAGAAAGAAACACTTCAATGCAACATTCACCTAAGCGGGGAAATTCGTAAACAGGCAAATCAGTAGATTTATCTTCGAAAGGTAATAATAATAATATATGGCAGAAGATGTATAGTTGAGATTAGAACAGCAATACCAGGTCAAACGTTGATTTTGGCAAGGCGGGACAAGCTGTCAAATGAAGTTAGAAAAAAGAATGTTGCTGGGGTTTTGTCAGAAACTGAAGGGGGCGTCGGGGTCCTGCCATATACTCAAGGATGGGGGGGGGGGGGGCCGAGACCTGAAAAAAGTTGGAGGCCACTGATGTAGAAAGGCAAATACTTTCGGTATCCCACTGGCAAGACGTCAGCGTGACTGCTTCTGGATTCTTAGTTAAAAGATATTTGTGAATTCGTTTGGTTTTGTTTGATTTATTTATGTATGTACTGATGAAGACTCTAAAGCCGAAACGTTCACTTTTTGTTTGTGTTTGTTATATTGTGAAGCTCGCTGATCTAATTTTCGTTCGGTTTTATATCTTTCCACAATATATTCGGTGGCTGGTTCTGCAAAATCTCTAAATGATATGCGACTATCTATGAGAATCTGCAACATCTCTAAATGATATGCAACAATCTATGAGAATCTGCAACATCTCTAAATGATATGCAACAATCTATGAGAATCTGCAACATCTCTAAATGATATGCAACAATCTATGAGAATCTGCAACATCTCTAAATGATATGCAACTATCTATGAGAATCTGCAACATCTCTAAATGATATGCAACTATCTATGAGAATCTGCAACATCTCTAAATGATATGCGACTATCTATGAGAATGTATGGACTCGAGAACTTGTCGACGACTGGTCAAACTGATATAAAAGGACCACAAGGAATGCAAAGAGATAAACATCTGGACACTTGGACACATGCATGAGGCGAGGTAAGAGCACCGGTCTGATTCGTGACATGGGCGATCGTATCCGTGACATGGGTGGTAGTGTCAGTTGGCAAAACATAACTGACTAGGCTTATCGGAACGGCACAAGATGATGATGATATGACATGTAAGCATTTATATATATATTTTACATATCATATCATTTAGGTAGTATGTACTAACAAATATCAAATGGCCCATATGAACATACACATACACATATTAGCAGTTAATGCAAATAATACGTTTACATTATATCATTTAGCATAAATGTACACAGATTTTTAAAAAACAGTGTATGCTGTATGGTATAAAATATATTTAACATTAAGAACATATAATGTACACATGATAAATCAGAATAACTGAAATTACCTGTGTGCAAGCACGATTTCTTTTAATATACATTTGTAAATCAAACTATACAAGTCACTTATGGTTTCTGTTCTTTTATATGGATGCCAGAAAATGACTGATAGAAGAACTCACTCAGAGAAGCAGACACATCATTATTTGTCTAGAGACAGTTGGAATTATTTAACAAGGGAATAGACTGGTATAATCATTCAGATGGAAAAGTAGACTGGTGTAATCATTCAGCTAGAGAAGTAGACTGGTGTAATCATTCAGCTAGAGAAGTGGAACTGGTGTAATCATTCAGCTAGAGAAGTAGACTAGTGTAATCATTCAGCTAGAGAAGTGGAACTGGTGTAATCATTCAGCAAAAGGAGTAGACTGACGTAATTATTCAGCTAGAGAAGTAGACTGGTGTTATCATTCTGGTAGAGAAATAGACTGGTGTAATCATTCAGATAGAGAAGTAGACTGGTGTAATCATTCAGCTAGAGAATAGACAGATGTAATCATTTAGCAAGAGAAGTAGACTAGTGTAATCATTCAGCAAGAGAGGTAGACTGGTGTAATCATTCAGCTAGAAAAGTAGACTGGTGTAACCATTCAGCTAAAGAAGTAGACTCATGTAACCATTCAGCTAGAGAAGTAGATGTGTGTGTAATCCTTCAGCTAGAAAAGTAGAAGGGTGTAGCCATTTAGCTAGAGAAGTAGACTGGTGTAATCGTTCAGCTAGAGAAGTAGATTGGTGTAACCATTCAGCAGGAGAATAGACTGGTGTAATCCTTCAGCTTGAGTAGCAGACTGGTATTACCATTCAGCTAGAGAAGTAGACTGGTGTAATCATTTAGCCAGAGAAGTAAAAGGGTGTAACCATTTAGCTAGAGTAGTAGACTGGTGTAACCATTCAGCTAGAGAAGTAGACTTGTGTAATCATTCAGCTAGAGAAGTTGACTGGTGTAACCATTTAGCTAAAGAAGTAGACTGGTGTAACCATTCAGCTAGAGAAGTAGACTGGTGTAATCATTCAGCTAGAGAAGTAGACTGGTGTAATCATTCAGCTAGAGAAGTAGACCAGTGTAACCATTCAGCTAGAGAATAGACAGATGTAATCATTTAGCAAGAGAAGTAGACTAGTGAAATCATTCAGCAAGAGAGGTAGACTGGTGTAATCATTCAGCTAGAAAAGTAGATGTGTGTGTAATCCTTCAGCTAGAAAAGTAGAAGGGTGTAGCCATTTAGCTAGAGAAGTAGACTGGTGTAATCCTTCAGCTTGAGTAGCAGACTGGTATTACCATTCAGCTAGAGAAGTAGACTGGTGTAATCATTTAGCCAGAGAAGTAAATGGTGAACCTATTCTGACCGTTTAAAGATGGCCGCCCCACTTTTCACTAGCACAAAGAGAAGCAGATTTCTGTTATCTGTTTTTTGACAAGTGAAGGGGTGAATCTATAGAAATTCAGAATGAAGTACAGTACAACGATGGATGCTTGCTCGTCCAGCAAATGTGTGAGTGGTGTAGGATGTTTCAGCACAGCTTGATGCAGATTCGAACCCAAGACCTTCAGACCCACAAGCGAGCATTTGGTCGCTACACCACGGCGGTTTCAAAAGAGATACAGACAGGTACATAAATACTGATATACTGAAGGTTGGGAAGAGAAAAAAGATAGAAAATCATTTAGCAAGAGAAGTAGACTAGTGAAATCATTCAGCAAGAGAGGTAGACTGGTGTAATCATTCAGCTAGAAAAGTAGATGTGTGTGTAATCCTTCAGCTAGAAAAGTAGAAGGGTGTAGCCATTTAGCTAGAGAAGTAGACTGGTGTAATCCTTCAGCTTGAGTAGCAGACTGGTATTACCATTCAGCTAGAGAAGTAGACTGGTGTAATCATTTAGCCAGAGAAGTAAAAGGGTGTAACCATTTAGCTAGAGTAGTAGACTGGTGTAACCATTCAGCTAGAGAAGTAGACTTGTGTAATCATTCAGCTAGAGAAGTTGACTGGTGTAATCATTCAGCTAGAGAAGTAGACTGGTGTAATCATTTAGCCAGAGAAGTAAAAGGGTGTAACCATTTAGCTAAAGAAGTAGACTGGTGTAACCATTCAGCTAGAGAAGTAGACTGGTGTAATCATTCAGCTAGAGAAGTAGACTGGTGTAATCATTCAGCTAGAGAAGTAGACTGGTGTAACCATTCAGCTAGAGAAGTAGACTGGTGTAACCATTCAGCTAGAGAAGTAGACTGGTGTAACCATTCAGCTAGAGAAGTAGACTGGTGTAATCATTCAGCTGGAGAAGTAGACTGGTGTAATCATTCAGCTGGAGAAGTAGACTGGTGTAATCATTCAGCTAGAAAAGTAGACTGCTGTAATCATTTAGACAGAGAAGTAGACTGGTGTAATCATTCAGCTAGAGAAGTAGACTGGTGTAATCATTCAGCTAGAGAAGTAGACTGGTGTAACCGTTCAGCTAGAGAAGTAGACTGGTGTAATCCTTCAGCTAGAGAAATAGACTGGTGTAACCATTCAGCTAGAGAAGTAGACTGGTGTAACCATTCAGCTAGAGAAGTAGACTGGTGTAACCATTCAGCTAGAGAAGTAGACTGGTGTAATCATTCAGCTGGAGAAGTAGACTGGTGTAATCATTCAGCTAGAGAAGTAGACTGGTATAATGATGACAACAGCAATGACAGCCAGCAGAAACACACAGACGAATACAGGATTAATCTTGCTACAGGTCTTGCTATCTGAAGCTTCTAGAATCTCCACTTGGGTGTCTTCCTGGGGGACAAAAAAAAAAAAAAAACAATATTTGAATTACGTATGTGTAAACATATTAATAGACTCTCTTTCTCTCTCTCTCTCTCTCTCTATATATATATCTCTAACACACACATACAAACACGAGGGGGCTTCAGATTAACAAACATTAAAAGTGTGTTAGAAAGTGCAGTGACTAAGCTATTCTCTTGTAACTGTCAATATTGTTGTCAAATATGTCAACAGTGTTAATCACGTGACATCACGGTGCAGACTAAAATGGTGAACCTATTCTGACAGTTTAAAGATGGCCGCCCCACTTTTCACTTGCACAAAGAGAAGCAGATTTCTGTTATCTGTTTTTTGACAAGTGAAGGGGTGAATCTATAGAAATTCGGAATGAAGTACAGTACAACGATGGATGCTTGCTCGTCCAGCAAATGTGTGAGTGGTGTAGGATGTTTCAGCACAGCTTGATGCAGATTCGAACCCAAGACCTTCAGACCCACAAGCGAGCATTTGGTCGCTACACCACGGCGGTTTCAAAAGAGATACAGACAGGTACATAAATACTGATATACTGAAGGTTGGGAAGAGAAAAAAGATAGAAAGGTAGATGAGGAAAATAGGATAGACAGAGAGGATAGAGATGAGAGAGTGACAGAGATGAATAGACTGAGAGATGGACAGACAGAAAGATGGATACAGAGAAGAGAGATGGACAGATAAAAAGAGCGACAGTCAAGAGGCAAAAAATATATACAAACACACATAGGTATGTGTTTGTGTATACATACATACGTCAGTTTGGTTCTTGTCTGTCACTCTATTTATCGGTGTCCCCCTCCTCTCTCTCTCTCTCTCTCTCTCTCTCTCTCTCTCTCTCTCTCTCTCTCTATATATATATATATATATATATATATATATATATATATATATATATATATATATATATATATATATATATAGAATTGTTTATATATAAATATACATACACACACACACATATATATATATATGCAAACACACACACACACACACACACACACACACACACACACAAAAGACAGAGTATTATGCGAGCGCTTAACCATCGTATTTCTATTTTGGGCTTATTATAAACGTATTATTCGAATCAGGTAATGGACGAACATAAAATATAAAAACGCGAAACCTGTTCAGCAGACATAATGTCAGAGATGTCAGAGAGAATTACCCCGGCACCGTTTCAAGTGTTGGGAAACCGGGCCCACTCACAACAAAGTGTTTAATGTTATTTAGGGCGTTTGGTACGCTCTTCTTCTTCAAATAAATTCGCACTTCATATGTGACGTTTGGTATGCTTTGTTGTGGTTACAGAAAGGCTGTGACATATATATATATATATAAACAATTAGACCTACATGTTTGTTTTTATAAGCAATTTCTACATCTGCCATTAAAATGTGATTAACTTTTTTCCCACCTTGATTTATATGAAGGTTTTTCTCCAATTTTTGCTTAATAGTCTTGGTTGTTTTCATTTTGTCCTTGTCTTTGTAATCATATTTTTTGAATGTCGGTATGAAGTTTCCATAGCACCCGAAAAAGATTAAAAAAAAAAAAAAATTAAATGAAAGGACCTTCCTCACGTTATCGACCCACAACTATTCCCAGTGATCTAGGACAAATTTACACATGTGAAAGAAACAACACAGTCGGTAAAATAAAACTGCGATCGTCCTAGCGTGAGGCAACCGCAGGACAATTAATGAGTGAATGAATGAATGAGTGAATGAATGAATGAATGAATGAATGAATGAATTACTGACATCACTGCACTGTGTATATTCCTACACGTGATCTATCTCCTTCTTCTGCAGCAAGCGAAGAGTCGACATGCTAATAGTACCATTAACAACCTGATTAAAAGTCCACATATGATTACGCCTGAGTATTGAATATCTTCTAAAACTTTTATACCCCCCCCCCCCTTTTTTCCCCCTTCCTTTTCCCCTCCTGTTCAATTAGTCATTTAACGTACGGATTCCCTGTCTGTTGGTTCTACTGCACTATTCATTCGATCCCATAGAGCCTTTACAACGTCCGCTTCATCATTAAGTAGCTCACCGACCAGAGGAATGACATTAGCCAATCCACCAGCCTTCTGATTATCCAGCACAGCCGAATTACTGGACAGGAAACCCACGATGTGCTCATGATATCATATCGAGTGATAAAAGCCATTCTAAGCGTACGACAGAACGCCAGTTTCTTTTCCGAAGCCCGCTGTGTGAGTTCTTTACAACTACCACATGCTGGGCTGCACTGTTCTCAAGCCATCTGAAAGCTTAGTTACCGCCTCCACCTCCAATCTCATACTGGATTTGTATGATATGATATGTGAAGCTCCCTGTTTTCAAACAGCGTCCATTCATTTTGACAATAAAACCTCTTCCTATCTTTCACTACAGACCTAGCTGTGAACCGCTTAACAAACTGCTTATTGATTATGGTGATTCCCCGTGTGGGTTTCGGGGCCCTATTATAGGGAAAACAAAAATAGACACACTGCCTACCTAAAAGCATGTCGTAAGAGTCTACCAATTGGGAGCTTCCTTTAAAGTCGGAGTGTATCTGCCTAAGAGGCAAGGAACCAGAAGTCTGCATATAAATGAGTCAGATCTGTAAAACGGATGCACACGCAACAGTCAGGTTCTGGAACAGGACTCCAGTCCAGAAGTGGATAAACAACCAGATCTTTCCGCCAGAGTTTACAGCTGGTGAACGCAAAGAAGAAGAAGATTATCGTGATAATGGCTTGTGATAGACAGTAAAAAACTTCGTTCACGACAATAGCCTATATATAAGACATGTCGCGCATCAAGAATTACACTGTCTGAAAGCAAATGACATATCAAAACCTTTTAATTTACTTACTTACATTATTCGCATCAGATGTGATCTTCTCCACGTGTCCATCTTTCCAGACATATCGGACACTCTCTCCGTGCGAGATCTTCCCATTCTTCAGCTGAACCTTCCCATCTTTCCACTCATAATCGTCTGTCCCGTCTCGCATACGAACATCGCCTACACTAACACTTCGAATTCCTCTTGTGCCATGTCCGTTTCTCGCTTCAGGAAGTAGGTGAATTTTGCTTATGCGATTTTCTTCAACACTACGGTTGATGCGACTACTCGATAAATTGTGCTGTTTGTGCGGTTTTGCCGCGATTTGGCACCGAGAGTCGCGGGTAGAAGACGAACTATGGCATCTTGGGCACTTGTAAATATTTCGACCGCAGTAACTCTCCCTGTGATAAGCCACTTGATGTCTACTTGATAAATCGGTATACGATTTTGAAAAGTTGCTTCGCGCCGGCATTATAACAAATGTACTACTTGTCCTTTCAGAACTCTGTTTAAATTGTTGCTTAAAAGGCGCTGAGGTATAATCTAAAGTGCCGCTTCTTTGTCGCATACTTCGCGCGGACGAGAAACTATCAGCGTGGATTCTATCCATTTGGCACCATTCTTCATCCACACTGTTGGATAATTCGTTCTGTGGTAAACAGCCTGGTTGATGAGGTCTTTTAATTAAAGAGTCCTGGCTGTAGTACCTGGGGGGTCGGGTTCCATTCTTAGATATACAAATGATTTCTGTGTTAGCGTTTCTAAACCTGGCAATATCTGAAGTGACTGAGCTCTTCCTGTTGACTCCGTTAGCTTTTCTGCATTCCACACAAGCCTCTGTGATACCGCGTTTGCAATCCCTACCATCACTGCTGTGAATAACTGAGCTATGATCTTTAGTTATTGTTTCATATGAAACTCCCGCGCCATTTTTATCTTTCTTAGTTCTGTCAAAAATGTTAAGCTCAATATCCGCGTTTGTGAAATTTCCAGTTTCTTGATTACTCGTTGAAAAAGATGGAGATTTTTGGTTTTGTTTTTCGCTTTGAGCTGTTTGCTGTTCTTTTACCAGGCTGTTTTTGCTGTTCGAATTAAATTTGTCGAAATAATTAGACTCATCATCTCCGGGTGTGGATATAGCACTGTGGATTATAATAGCTGGGGCGTTCATATAATTTTGACTATCCGATTCAGTTGTCAAGTCTGTATCAAGAGGTATATCTAAGACACAAGAATGGGATGTACCGTCTGCCTGGGTGTAAGTTAGCAACGGATGGATCGATGTTTGAAATGACAACCCCAGTTTGGGTGCATCTGCTGGGTTGTCTGCTGTTTGTCTTGTCGGTGAGTGGGTCTTCTTGTGGGTGGTGTGGTTCTGTCTAAGATGGGGGTCTACAGAAGAAAGCACCGCCTCCTCGTAGGTGGGAGGCGGGGGAGAGTTTGGCATGTCCGCTTCAATCTTTCGCATCATTCTGTAAAAAAGAAACAAGATGAGTGAATATAAAATACATATGATAGCTAGTTTTATTAGATAAATTCAGTTTCTAGAAACTGAAAAACGTCGACCGTATTTAACACTACAATGATTTGTAATGAACAGCAAGGGACGTGGTCGCCATTGAATGTATACTTAGAAAATATACTTCTGGTCAAAATGAACGCTAGGCACGGTCACTGTTTCGAGCCGAGAAACATTTTTTGTGTGCTTCTGATAGATGGTGGCCGTTGCATTTTTGCTCCATTTGTAGATTGAAAGAATATAGTTTTATCACCCATTATATAGTGGAATATAGTTTTATCTCCCCCTACTAAGTTGAGTGCATGGCGGGACACTATGAGCTGCGAATTTAATTCTGAATTTTTTTTACTGTGACCAACGTGGTGTTGTTAATTGTAGATTCAGAAACTGGCGCGTGGTCTGTCGTCGCAATATTGGTGGTGCCCTTATGTGATTAAAATTGATCGCGTATGCAACTGCTGATCTGTTGGTAACTTCTGCTGCCGTCGATAATTAACTGCAATTGTAATGTCGGACTGTTTGTGTTAGCACTTCTGATGGCTACATTATGCTTTTGATGCGTGTGTATGCTAGTGCATATGCTGAGACAGCAGTCTGTCAATCTTTCCACAAGCGACAGTGATGGTCATTCTGTGTGTTTTTCGTTTGCACAGGAGCGGTGCAACTATAGGGTGACCTGTTTGCTATGAAGCTGAAACTAAGATTACCAGATTACTTAGAAAAGCAAGACTGCCAACAATCTTCTTTCTACTGAAACAAAAACGGTTGTGCGGGCTGAAACATGTTTCCCGCATATAAAGAACAGTAAAGTTGGAGAGGATCTGATGTATGGTGAATGTCATGATGTGAAATATATACATAGGTAGATAAGGAGTTAACTATTAAATCGACAAAGGGACATGACAGTATTAATACAGGTAGCAGCCAAGACAGGCTATGAACAGGAGATACACACGTGTTGAGCCCAGGTAATGACGATGACCCTCGTCATCGCGGCTTTCTTTGTGAGCGAATGGATTGAAGTAACGTGTGTCTCCCACGTGCCCCGCCCATATACACACTAGCTCACCTCTGATTGATAGTTCTTAAACCTGTCACCTTGGCAGAACGTTACGGGGGTGTTCCGCAATGCTGTTGATATCGCGTGCTGTATATTTCAGCACGCCAGTGCTTTCAACACTCCAAAAACAGAGAAACTTGCCCTTACACCCCCCTACCCCCAAGAGAGTGCTGCAACCTATGTCACATGCATTCACTTTCTCGGAATGAAAACGTAAATGCAAGACATCGAAGAAACCAAACTACAGAGCGGGACACACCCGTAACCCTCAGGAAAGTCTACCAGCCTAACAAACTTATCAATGAAAAGTGACCTAATTTATTTGGGGAGATTAACGTAAACCTAACCAGTGCCTGTATTTATTACTTAGCGCCTGGAGCTCAACATTCATAGACGTATGATTTGATATATCGTTTAGAATAGCGGTTCTCAGTCTGTGGGTCGCGACCGCTTGAGGGAAAAAAAGGGGGGGGGGTGGTGGTTGAACGACCAATTCGCAGGGACCACCAAATACCATCGGAAACATGCACTGAAGTTATTAAGTAGCAACAACAATAATTTGATGGTTGGAGGTCACCACATCGTGAGTAACCGTATTAAAGGGTCGCAGCATTATGCAGATTGAGAACCCCCGGTTTAGAACATTCTCTTTTCGGAACACCTTTATGTTTTGTATAAGTAAACTTAAATTGTGATAGTTTAGTTGCTGAGACCTGTAGAAAAAAGTCGTGTAGACTGGGTATAGGATCCACCATCTAAGAGCCTTTGTTCGACAAATTATTTCATTTAGTTCCTGAAGTGGACTAGGCGACGACGCCGCAAGAGAAAAGACTTAACAACTGTACGCCACTCCACACTGTCTTATACTGGAATATTATGAAGTGGGATTGGGAGCTTTGGCTGCCTTGGGTAAGAGGTGAATGTTGTATGTTTGCTCGCTCACCTAAACGTTTGCTGGTAACCTAACTGGCATGCCAGAATATCGCCTCCCAAAGAGAGTATTTTATGGCGAGTTTCAGCAAGGGGAGAGGTCCCAGAAAGGACGGAAAAAGTGCTATGACACTCTCAAAACTGCTCTCAATTATTTTGGCATAAACACAGCGACGTGGGAGGATACTGTGCAAGACCGTGCTGTATGGCATGATGCGTCTGCCTGCCAGACAGGGGAGGTTGCACAGTCAGAGACATGGAAGCAGACTATAAAGAATCGTACTGCCAATCCCACACTTTCTGCGGCTTCCATCTATTGTCCGCACTGCTCAAGAATTTTCCAGCCTCATATTGGACTAATCAGCCACCTTGGTACTCATCATCATTGAGTATGATTGATCCACATTTGATGAAAGTGGTCTTCATCACGCGCGATGGACAAACAACAGGAGGACCGAAGACAATGCAAAGAGATAATAAACTATAGACGGCGATTAAAACGTTTGTCTAAATAAAACAACATTTTTTTTTCTATGAACTCTGTTGTGCGAAACTGTTCTTTAGACATGTCGAGCCATGTGTTTAACATATTGAAAGCCTAGAGGAAGAAGAAATGACGTTAGCTCCACAACAATGAACTGGGAAAATAAAGAAGATTTGTAACAATATCAAAGCTACTCTAGACGTGCAAACGCGACTTGAAATGTGTCAAGATTGACACAGATACTTTGGATAGAACAGCAGCAGACCGACTCATATGGAGACAGACAGTGAAAGAGGAATTGTTGCAGTCTGTGAGAGAGCTATAGAGAGGAGACGTCGCAGAGACTGTCGCAGTCTGTGAGAGAGCTATAAAGAGGAGACGTCCCAGAGACTGTCGCAGTCTGTGTGAGAGAGCTATAAAGAGGAGACGTCCCAGAGACTGTCGCAGCCTGTGAGAGAGCTATAAAGAGGAGACGTCGCAGAGACAGTCAGACTCTGTAGAAGAGGCATCATCATCATATACCCTGCCAACTGACGTAGGCGCTCATGCGTCTCCACAGATCACGATCCCTGGTTGCCTGGAATATCTCTCTTGGTGGTATCCCTAAATGCCATCGCTTTAGCCTATCCAGCATCATCTCTCTTGGTCTGCCTCTAGCCCTTTTTCACCAGATCTTTCCAGTTGTCACGATGTTCTCCAATGTCTCTTTTCTCATTGTGTAGCCAAAGAACAGTGTCTCTTTCTTACTGTTGTATAAAGAGATCTACTTTCATTAGCTTCTTTCAAACAATCGTTGTTAGTTTCTCTGGACGTTCAAGGTATTCGTAACATTCGTTTCAGAAACCATATCTCTGTTGCATCCAAATTCTTCTTAAATTGTTCACTGACATTCCAAGATTCGCCGCCATACAGCAGAACAGGTTCTATGTAGCATTTAGCACTCTCTTTCTAACATTATCTAAGAGCGACTTTTTGTTTAAGATATTTTTCATTTTCTGAAATGATCTATTTTGCCAGCAGTCGCAGCAGGGCCATTGGGTCAGCCTGGAGAGCGCATTGCAAAGAATACTCACATGGGGTGAGATCTGGCGAATAACCCCGTTGCGACTGAGCTTTATCGTTCGTTCGGCGTACGATGTATTACCGTCCGGTGTTAACATGGTTAAAAGGTCTGCGACTAACGATCCGACTTGCCCGTTGTGCAAAGCAAAGCAGACTCTTGAGCACGTCCTGTCCGCGTGCAGGAAAACCCTAGGCCAAGGCTGATATACCTGGCGACACAACAAGATGCTAAAAGAGTTAGCAGCCGTTGTTGACCAGGTTAGAATGAGGACTAACGCTAGAGCCAGCTCTACTATCATTCCCATACGTTTCCTCAAGGCTGGGCAAATTCAAAAAGGTAAAATCAACAAAAACGCATTCGCTCCATCTATGCTAGACTCTGCGAGGGACTGGTTACTGACGGTTGATCTGCCAGGCCATGAAAGGTACCCCGAGTTAATCCGGAAGACCGGTCTGCGACTTGACATAGTTCTCCACTCTGCGGAGAAACGGCAGCTCATCTTGATTGAACTGACCGTCCCGTATGAGTCGCGTATGGACGAAAATCACACGTTCAAGCTCGAGAAATACGGTGATTTAGCAGCCGGTCTGGGGAGAGACGAGGCGTACGCAGTACGTGTCTTTGCCGTCGAAGTGGGAGCGAGAGGTCCTGTCTCCACTTCACTGTACAATGTGATTAAAGAACTATGATTGCGCGGTAATGAACGGAAACGAACACTTAAAAAACTGGGCGAGGTAGCCGAGAGGGCCTCGAGCTGGCTTTGGACGCAACGAAACAACGTAGGGGACGGGCCTCGGTGAGCTGGTCCGGGTTTCTAGTAGAAAAGGGTTTCTCACCCTTTTAAAGTCCATCGTGTCCGAATTTCTGCCAGTGATCCTCTGCCACCTGCTAACAAAGTCCAACATGTGTCCGGTAAACCAATCGTAAGCTTGTCGCTCGGTCGTCAAGGTATGCTGACTGCTCTAATTAGGCTACCGTGGCGACTTCTTATCTCACAGTACCTTATGCAAATCACCAAGTCGTCTTGTCCCTATCCGAAAGGAAAACACCATCCGGTAATTTCGTGCAGCAGGGTACCAGCCCTGAGCTTCATGAACTCAGGTGGGCCCACCTCTGAAAACGTCTAGGAGATCGTGGGCCGAAACGTTTGTCGACGAGGATAACTTCTACTGATGACTGGTAGATCCCTGCTGTACTTGCTCCCTGTGAGTTTATTCCTATGCTTCTAATCTCTGTCACACATTTTCCATCTAATGATATGATTGTTCCCAGATATTTGAATTGATTGACTTGGATAAGTCTAATGAGGATCAATGTTTTATGTAGTCTGCAGTGTCAGAGACTGTCCCTCCGGCATTGGACTGTACATTCAAAGCGGATGTCGCTCTAGA